TATATATATAGCCTATAAGAAATGAACTGTAATGAGGGTCAAAGGAAGGCAACAGCATTTTTGGTACTTTTACCTGAATAGTCTAATAGTAATAAAGTAAATAGAAATGTGTGTCTACTGAATAATTTTAGATCGATCTGTACAGCCAACATTCACAGACATAGGGATGCGTATTAAAACGTGTCAAAGCTCAGAAACAGCATTTCCAGCCATTGTTAGCAACCTATTTATTAGACCAATTAGAAACATGAATGTTCCAATCAAATTGACACAACAATTAACTCTCTGCCACCAGTGGTTGCAGAGATACAAGGACCCTATGGCTGTGACATTGAAACATGTCAAAGGTTAGAAACGGCGTTTCCGGTCATTTTTAGAAAAAAAAAAAAAAAAAAAAAAAACTATTAGCGTAGAGAAACATGAATGTTCGGAACAAATTTGCACCAAAATTAACTCTCTACCACTAGTGGTTGTGGAGATAATAAGGGTTCAATGGCTATGTTAGTAAAATAGGTCAAAGGTCAGAAACGGCATTTCCGGTCACTTGTTAGCAAACTGTTTTATTAGACCAGGGAGTTGTTATTTACAACTCCCTGATTAGACCATATAGACACATGACCTTGAAACATGTCAAAGGTTAGCAATGGCATTTTATAGCAAAATGTAATATTATAGTGTGGGATTCGAACATTTAAACGAACGTATGGATGTCAAATATTCATCCTGTGTGCGCTACACCGGTATGTTAATTAGTTCGGGGTTGGGCGCGGCAGGTTTGAATGCTAGAATCCATCAGTTGACAATAGTACGTTGGTGCGGTTAGTCGTGTGTTTGCCATAGAATGGTTAACCGAGTTAAGGTAGGCGTATATTTTGTTCTGTAATGAATTTGTTTGATCATATAATGAATTGGTATTGGTATAGTAGTTAACAATAATTAAATAATCCAAAAATATATATGTTAATGTTAATAATTATTTTTGTTATAGCCGATGAAGTTAATGTAGACTATTGCATTGTTCATGGTTTTTTTTTATTAGTGGCATTTACCTGTGTTAATTAATTACTACTATATTGAATATTTTATGTTTATTGGAAAATACAATATAGAACCCATATTTAGTTGGTACTTCGTTGTTTAGTTCTGTAGCCTTATGAAGTACAGTTTTCTGTCATTGTGAGGACCGGAATTGTAAGATTGAGTACCATGTCGTTTGCATCGTTAGGCCTATTGTTAACCTGTAAGTCAAGATGACCGATAATTTATTGAATTATTGTACGTATTTAATTTATTCAGATTTAGTATGTTAATACTGTGACTGATAATTGTTGTTGTTTTGCAGTGTTATGATTGCCATTAACTAGTTGGGGTTTTTCGTTTTCGTTTTCCTTCTGTTGGGAAATTTTGATGTTTTCACTGTTGAGTGACTTCCTTGCTTCAATAAACGAAGTCGAACCGTTCTGCAGTCGTTTCTGTGTCCTTACTTTGGGAGTAGTGACTGGCAGCGCGCGACAAAATGGTGTCAGAAGTGGGATTGGACCAGTGATAGGAAGAGTCAAGTCAAGAGATGATTAACCCCAGCAAGTTGGACAGTGAAATTGATGTATCTTTTGATATTATAACTATTTTATATTGATATTTTGTATTCATATGATAATATCTATATATATTTTTATATTTAAATGCATTTCCTCATGACATTATTATCATTATTATATATAAAAAATTGTCTGCAACCGGAGCCTGCCTTTAAACTGAAAATTTAAAAAATGTAATAGTTTATAGCTTAACATTCGAGTAGTTGGGAAACCTGGAATATAATTTAAGCGTTTTATTACTTCACATTATTTATGAGTGTGCTTGTGTTATCCCTGTACTTCTGAGAATTTACATTAAATGTAATCTTATTCATACTACTGAAAAATCACAAGTAAGTTTCATAAATCATGTGTAAATATTATAAGCTAAACATTAATATAAGTCAAAAGAAAATATTGTAAGTCATAAGTAAATCCTAATTATAAGTCACAATAAATCACCACTAAGTCCATAGGAGTCATATAATAAATCATGCATATTTTACATTATTAAAGTGGATAACTTACCCTAAGCTATTATTAAAACTGAAATCTTGTAATAAATATAAATTATTAATAT